GGGTTTAGTGTTTAGGGTAAGGGAATACAATCCCTATGTAACCCCCATATTATATGTTCTCTTATTCCCTATTAGCCCCCAGTGAGGTATGAGTGTTGTCAAGAGTATGATGGTCTTTCTTCATTTCCCCATGACAATACAGTCTCTAATATTTACGGTACCCAGCAAGAAATTTGACAACCTACCAGGTGGGGATGGAGTGTTGGTTTTGGGGTTGGCTGTTTCTGGCTTGATATCGGCTCTGCAAAGGATATTTGACTCGGAGCAGTAGAAAGTCTAGGCAATTAAGAACTGTGGGTGCCACAGAGGGCATTAATAGGGGTAGAGAAGAGAGTATTTTGAGAAAACCCGCAGGTTGTAGGGGTATGGCGAGTTCAGATGAGGCATGGGGCGTCTCTTCTATCGATGCGCATTGGGTTAAATTCTGCCTATGCTCCATGTGGTTTTGAAGATTGCAAGCAGGCCTTTCAACACAAGCCCAAGAATGCTGTTATCCTCTATCTACAAACCCCTAAGCCACAGGCTCTCAACCACATGCCCTTACACTCCTTTCAGGTATATGTGTCGCGGATGATTCAGGTGGAACGTGCAAAAGCGGATCGGCACCATGTCAAGTGTGGAATTCCTCTTTAAGCAGAATCGTAATTGGTTCAATTGAAGCTCAGTTGTCCCCTTGCTGTACCAAGCCATGAAGTTCAGGAGGCAAACCTTGGGCCTCAGCCAGTGACTGCTATGGTAGGACTGTCGTAGAGCCCCAACACTAATGACAGTAACCCTGGTGGTCGCTATTATTTGCACGGGCCTAATCTGAGTCATTTAGGGTTTAGGGTTTTCTCTGTTAGGATCAACTGCAATAAGGGGATTTTGGTTCCCCGCCCCCTCAAATGAGGCCGCTGTAAGAATCGTATTGTATCCAGGGGGTCGTCGTCTTCGGTGCGGGGGTAATTCCGATCCCTTCATTACCTAATGGGAGCCGTGATATAATCTGCACGTAACCCCAGTTTCCATTCAACTTGCAATTTGATTGTCCATTATTTGGGGGTTGGGGTAACCCAAATCCCCTCATTATACCCATTTATCATCTTTTATAATCCCAGCTTCCATTTCAAGTTCCATTTCTTGTCCATGATAACCTTCAACGCTAAATTAACAACAATGGTCCCTTTTTGGACCCTGTTATAGTACGGCCCCATGTGTAGGGTAGGTGCCCAAAGAAAAGGGGACCATAATCTTGACAGGCCCCCCAAAATGCTAAACCTTAAGCCCAAGCCCATATAACCCATTTATACTCCCTATGTAACCCCATTTAACTCCTGTGTAACCCTGAAGTAACTCCGAAACCCCAAACACTGCCCTGACCCCTAAATCCCTACACCCCTTGACCTCTAGACCTTTAAACCCTCAACCTCTAAACCCCTAAACTCACAGGCGAAGGCTATTGAGGCTGGCCCCAGCGGGGGCAGTTGAATCTGACCCGGCATGGACGACGTGCGAACACGTAGGGTGCAGGAGTTATATAAGCACCTTGGTGTTCAGGGTTTAGGGATCACGTAGGGATTTTACAGGGATGGTACAGGCCTTACATATAGAGATTAGGTAGGGTGTTATGATGATGATATAGGGGCTACGTAGGGATTAGTTTATATGCACATAGGAGTTATGTGGGGTATATGGGGGGTGTATCAAGATTATACTGGGATTATAAATTATAAAGGGACTTTGTAGGGTTTCATAGAGTTGTATAGGGTTTAGGGATGTTACCACAAAGGAAAATCAAATGGAAAAGAACATGAAACATAAAACAGAAACTGGGATTGCATAGAGATTGTTTATTTATGTGAGGTCTAGGGTTTCCATTCATTAGGGGTTCTCTTCTTCCGGTTCTTGTAGCAAGGATGGTATTTTGGGCGGGGCATGAAAGGGGCAGCCCATTTTGGAAGGCAATTATGTAGGTTTGGGACTGGTGAAGGTTGTGGTATTGGTGTCAGTACTTGTAGTTTCGGCAACAGAAGTACCTGCGTAAGAGGAAAGCTCACGGAACAGGATTAGGAGTAGAAGTATTTGGAACCCTGAACCCATTAACAGTGGGTTAAGTAAATAAAGTGTAATGGAACTATAGTCTAAGCTCCTTCAAGGGCTTTATATAGGGGACAGAATAAGGGACTCTTATGGGGTTATAAGGGTGGATATGAGGAGTCTAGACTATAGCTCATATAGAGCCCTTCATATGGGCCTTGTTAGTCCCCCTTAAGTAGATAGAACATGGGGTAATCTTATTATAATATACCCAAAGCCATATTCTATTTACTTAAGGAGGACTATAGACTGTTAATGGGAAACCTCAGCCTGCAGCCTGTGCTCACTTTGTATCCACAAGCTCCAAACTCCTTACTTGCTGGTTGTCGGTAAGAAATAAGGGAATCTAATCCCTACAGAATATGAACTGTAAACCCTAACCCTAAACCCCAGACTAAACCTTAAAAGCAAATATATACATATATATATATATCTCTCTCTCTCTCTCTCTCTCTCTATCTCCTTTATTCCCTACTTAGAACCAGTAAGCTTATGACGGAGGCAGTCCTGGAATTGTATGGGTTTAGGGTTTAGGGTCTAGGGTTTAAGGAAGTAGCACCTCGACGTGGATAGCCTAGATTTTAGCCACGCCGGCATTGATATCCTGCTTTATAGGGGTTACATAGGGGTTATAGAGGGATTATGTAAGGGTCTTATAGGGATGATATAGGGTTTATATAGGGAGTATGCCCTCTGCCTTGATCCCAAAATAGACCATCCAAAAGAGAGGAGCATGCGTCTCGATTTGTTTTTGTATGTTTTTGTCGTGTTCACGTTCTACATCTGGTTCCCAGAGCACTCACGTTACTTCTGAATGGCTGTACTTGATGTTCTTTGTCTTGTTTTCAGCTTCTTCTTTACTTTTGAGCCGGCATCCTTCTTCTCTTGCAGTTTGGTTGGACTGCCGAAGCTTGAGTTGCCGTGAGGAACCTTCTCATCAAATGGATCTGCTCTCAGTGCCCTCAGATGCCCTCGTAGCGCCAAAAGCCCTTGCCGCAGTTTCCCTAGCCATGTCCTCCATGTTTCCGCTCAGTCAAGCCGCCCGCAGGCGCATCCTGGCTGACCTTAAAGCTCTGCAAGAAGAGCCTGTTCCCCTGGCTGCTGCAGCACCCTGCTCGGATGCTGACCTCAGTCTTTGGAATGGAGTCATTGGTACGCAGATGGAGGTGACACAGCTGGGCTGCGTCACTGATTGACTTTCCAAGTGACTACCCCTCGAGTGCACCCAACATTGGCTTTTCCTTTGACTTTGAGTACCGGAAAATGCTTCGTATGTGCAGCGTCATGGACGTTTGAACGGGAAGCTTGTGATTTGCTTAGATGTGCTTGGCAACTTCGGCACCCGGCATACAGAGTGGAAGACCCAAGTTGGCACTGGCTGGAGCCCCGCGTACACAGTCACAGCTCTCTTGATTCAGCTGCAGTCCGTGCTCTGCGATCTGGGTACGCAGATGAGCCAAAAAGAGCGCGACAGGACCTACCGGTCGGCGGTCCGCTTCTGTGAGAAGAATCCTCAAGCTGTCCTACCCATCCTGGATGAGGATGAGGTCCATGAGCTGCATCACAAACGACATGTGGAGCAGCAACTGCGGCGAATTTGCCGTGGGGATGGAGCTCTTGCTGAGCGTGTCAGCAGCTTCGCTCGCAGGATTGGGCTGGCTGAGAAGGAGGATCAGATGGACGGCTTCCTAGAATTGCTGTCTGATGTTGCTTCCATCGCATCTGGCTTTTGCCCTGCCAGTGAGACAGAGTCAGCGGTGAAAGTCGACAATATCTGCTGCTGGAGCACTGGCAGGCTATACACTGAGGCGCTGCTCCTTGTGGGTGTGAGCCGTGAGCGCAAGAATCTGGGGACCGCTGGTGAGCTGATGTCTAAGGAAGCCTTTGACGGAGGGCTGCGACAGAACACCCACAAGTCTGCCTTCGAGTTCTTTCTGCCAGTTTGGATCAACGAGGCGCATGCTGCCGGGAGCGCGGAATGGCGTCACCAGCTTTGGAAGCAGGTCCTGCATATCGGCTGGTGTGTATGAGGCTGCCAGTGAGGACGCCGCTGCCCTAGAGGTGTTCCCTCGTCTCATCAACCAGATGATGGTGGAGGTGATGAGACCTGATGCACATAAGAGCGCTGCAATCGCCACCTTTGAAGCGCTGTGCAACTTCTGGCGGACTTTCCGGTGGTTAGTGAAAAACGCGAGAAAGCCTCCGCAACAAGGTAGCCGAAACCTTGAATCGAGTTGTCAAGGACGAGTCCTACCGTCACAAGGACCACTCACCTGATCTCGGAGCTCTCCTGGTGCTGTTTACCGTGATGCAGGGGCACAGCGCATGTCCACCCAGGGATGGTTTCATAAGCACATACGCAGATGAGAACTCCCTGCGCTGGGTGTTGTGGTGGCAGCGCTCTGGTACTCCGGCAGAGGACGGCCCTGTCTTTCAGGCCACAAAGGTCTCCAGGGAGATCCTGATGTTTCAGATGGCTGTCGTGGACATTGTCATCGGAGATGTCAAGAAGACGCTGGCCGACATGGAAGAGACCAACTGCAAGCTGCCTGAGCGATTGGAGCGCTTGCAGTCTGAATGGCGAAAGCGCAAAGAGTCTGTAGATGATTGGGCTACCTACTACCATTGCATTGGTACTGCTAGGCCCAACTTTCGCAGCACGGCCGAATGGATTGCCAGCTGTGTTCGACTTGCAGCAGGCAAGGGTCCCAAGTATGGCTCTGGTGGTGGCAAAGGCAACAAGGGCTCCTGCGGTGGCAAAGACGACAAGGGCAAGGGCAAGGGCAACTTTTGAGCTGGGCTTTCGCCTGCTGCTGTCTAAGGCGCGGTCAGCAAGTGTACAGTGTACAGAGTCATAAGCGGAAAGGTTGTTGCGACAGTTTTTGTCCCGCTTCGCCAGCAAGGTTTGATCGCCTTCTGGAAGGGTGCAACAATCGCAGTTGATTTTCCAAGGCATCAACCACACACAAATGCTTCAGCAAGGATTGCTATCGGGTTCGTGCTCTTCTTACCTTTGGTTCGCTGGGAAGGAAGGAATGGAGAACAAATGGAGACTCTTTTCATGCGTGATATTAAGACTACCGTAAGGATCCATTCTTTCATTCCTAGCTAACCAGAGGCAAGTCTTGTGTTTTCAGTCAAAAGCCTGTGGCTTTCTCCGCAGCCTTGGCCATCAGAGTGAGTCTGCACATCACGCAAAGCACCCTGATTTACCTGGTTCGTTGCTTTGAGGTCTTGCAGTTTAGTAGCATTAGCCTGAGTCAATCAAACCTTAGTCTGGCTCCTGCCAAACAAGTTACCTTCAATCTCCTGACATCCCTTTTCTCTGGCCTGCTGAACCCCACCCCCTTTACGCAGCCATGCCGGTGCCTTCCGCAAAGGCGTGTGTCCGATAGACGGGAAGTGATTGACGGGTGTGTTTCATGGCATGGGTGTCTAAGGAGTTAACTTCTGATGCCTGGTGCTCAGGTTGCTATTGCTACATTTTTCCTCTAGAAATATGTTATTGCTATATTATCGCTATATTATTACTATCGTATTACTACATTATTACTATATTATTGCTATATTATTACTATATCATTACTATATGACTATTATTTCATTAAGGAGCTTGTGAACTGGGTCTCATCTTTCATGGTCTTGGGATCTGCATGTGCGGAATGACCCTAAACCCTAAAACCTAAACCCTAAACCCTTGACCCTGTATTTTTCTTGTTACATGGAAGCCGATCGGCCAACTGCCAAAAATGTAGGCCTTGCAGGCGGTGCAGCAACAAAAGCCCAAACACCTTGACGCCATTATTATTATTATTACTATTATTATTACTATTATTACTACTATCATTATTATCATTCTTATCAATTATGCTAGTATTAGGGGAAGAGCTAGAAGAATAAAAAGTCCTCGCAGCGCAGGGTGCCGCTGTGGATGAGGATGGGCCCCTTGGCATAAAGATATGGTTGCGTCCCGTGGGATTGGATAAGATTGGACGAGGCGAGTTGTTGAAAATTGTTTGCGCTTCTGGTTCATTCTTTTGGGGACAGAAGAAAATAATCCTGCCTTACATCAGGCTTGAGGGTACGTGCTGTTTTAAGCTTTGGCTTGTGCATTCGGAGTTTAGGGTAATGTAGGGTCCTAAACAATTAGAGCGGATTGTGGGGTATATGCTCCTGCATCGTGCTGCATGGTTCGGCGCCCTTACAGTAGGAATCCTATGTTGCAGTCCCAAACTACCTCCACCAGCACACTTTAGGCGGACCCCCCGCCCTGTAGCAGCGGTATACTAGGAATATAAGAGGACCCTAATTACTGGGTCCACCTAAAGCACACCCCTAATTCAATGGGAAGTAAGGTGGGTTCCAACGAGTCATTGGATGTGCCTACGATCCATTAGAATGTGTGACTATCGCGGCCGCTGTTTTGAATGTTGAGTTTGATCCTTATAAGCGGTGGTTCCCCTAAATGGGGGAGACCCCAATGCAGACCTCAAGATACTCTAATCCTGACAATAGAGACCCCCAAAAAGGTACCCCTAATTTTGAGAAACCCTCACCCCTAAAACCTAGAAATCCCTACAGAACCCTTTTATGTCCATATATATCCCCTATGACCCCCTTTAATAAAGGTGCGCCTAATTTTGCCCGAATGCCTCAGTGTACCAAGGCTGGATGGCGTCATTGTGGACCAGGCGCTCTCCAACCAAAATGGGGGTTAGGCGTCAGGCTTTAGGGTTTAGGCGGTTTGGGGTGTAGGGTTTTGGGGTTTGGGGCTTTCGCCAAAAAATCGGTTTCTTTGGGAACCAACCCTAAACCCTAAACCCTCAACCCTAAACCTAGGGGTGTATTGAGGAGCGTGCACGCATACAGTCTACCAGGGGTTGCATGGGACTTCTTTACAGAAACTCTAGCCTGGAGCCAGAAGGGTTTAGGGTTTAGGGTTTAGACCACAACTGTAACAATTATGGGTTCAACTAGTACCCCCCTCTATACAACCCCCCCTAGGTTCCCCCCTTAATTAAGGTTATTTAGGTATATTTAGGCTTAATTAAGGTTAATCAAGGGGGAACCTAGGGGGGGGTATAGAGGGGGGTACTAGTTGAACCCCTGAAACAAGGACCCAGCAAAGAGTATCGTCCTGTCAACTTTTGCCTTTATGAGCTAATGTCATTCTTAGCCTTATTACAGGGCCCTTGAGGGTGGACATAGGGTTCTCTCCTGTAGTTTAGTAGAATCCCTAATATGGTCCCTGATAAGAAGGTCATGTCCATTGACTATCGTGGGTAATACTGACTGTAGCTCATTTGAGCAAGAGTGTGAACTCCTACTTTCCCCTTAAGAAACCCTATAATATTCCCCTATATAATCTCCTTCATACCCCCTCGACGCAGTTTAGACCCTAAACCCTAAACCCAATATAATCCCCTATATAATCCCCTAGAGCTGGTTTGGGGAATGGCGAGCGGACTTGAGATTTCTCGTCTATGCCGTCAGACCCTCATCCGGGCCATGCTTCTGGCGTATATATGTATATATGGTAGTCTGCCTAAATAAGGGTTTCTGGTTTAGGGTATATTATGGGGACCCCCCCGAAGGTATCTGTAACCCTCGTATCAGGAGCTTGCTTTGGTTGGCTGGCATTGACAGAATGCTGTATAGCACTGTGAAGCGGATGCTGCTGACACAGTCCAAGCCCAGCAAAACTTATCGATGGCTAGGAGAATAAAAGAATGCAATCCCGGGATAACTATTGGGATATAGGATTTCATTTCTTCAGTCCCTAGTAGCCACTAGTAAGCAAACCGAATGTGACTTCTGAATTTCATAGCGTGGACGTCCTAGCATGTGTCGTATCTGTAAACCATGAAGCAATACCACACTACTTCCCAAAAGCCTGAGCTGCAAAAAAACACTCTAAACCCTACACCTTAAATGATGACACCAACGACGGTGGCAACTGAGCGTGGCTGCAGATAGGGTGGCTACAACAGCATTTAACCTATAGTCCCCTTTAAGTAGATAGAATATGGATTTGGGTATATTAGAATAAGATCCCCATATACCCCATATTCTATCTACTTAAGGGGGACTATAGCTCGATCCTTGGGGCCTTCGATCTGCAGAGGTCGAAAAGAGCTCTTAAAATAAAAAACCCTAAAGGCCGCACAGTGGCAGCAACTCCGCTGGTCCCTGCAGGCACCAGGGCACGGGAAGTTTCTTCTTAGAACCTAAGCAGTAAGAACAGGGTCCAAGTACCCAATGATCATCTACTTCCCCAAAACCTGTCCTACGAAGGTTATTACCTAGAGATCCCCAGAAGCTAATTGAGTCAGTTAAGCACATGGCCCTTGATTTCGGATTCTGATTAGAATTAACGGTCCCTACATAGTCGCAGCCGTTTGAAATTTGATCAACAGCTGTGATGCTGGCGTATGGGATTCCCGATGGATTCCCGATTATTCAGGATAATCATGCCGAGGTAATAGGTACTACTGTACTGCCTAGAGAGGCCTCGCGCTGCGGGACTTTGAGGTTCAAAATATGGGAGAGCTTGGAGATCAAGAGTTATTTTTAGAAGCGGCGGTGGCGGCGGTGGTCAGCTAGCAGAAGATTCAACAGAAGCACCTTGACTTGCCACTGTTTTGGGCAGGGTTTACCCCTAAACCCTAAACCCTAAACCCTAAGCATACAAGGTTACTGTCCGCGCAAGAGGCTGAAGCTTGTAAAGCAGCTTGCTTTCTTCCCAACTGCGGTAGACAGTTTGACACTAGGCTGCAAGCTCCATGTGAGCTATTGTCTCAACTCCTTAAAAGGGGTTATATAGGGGATTATAGAGGGGAGTATTATAGGGGTTATTAAGGGGGATACTAGGAGTTTAGAGTATAGCTCATGTGAAACTTGTGAAATACCGAGCCAACATGTTGCTGCAGGGAATCTACGATGAGCAGAAATCCTGCTTGGAGTCCTTTCACGCCTTGCTGGCGAGCACAGACCATATGGGCCACTTGGATCTCAGAAAAGGGAGGAGGGGAGAGGCGAAAGGCTTGGAGTTCATAACATTTGTAAATAATCATGTATAATCCTTATACGTAACAACCCTATACCAGCCTTACTATATCCCTGATAGTATTGGTAAGTATGTAGTCTCCGAAAGCTTTCGACAAAGCGTGGCTGCTGTTCTTTGATACGCAGTTTGGGCTTTAGTTTTGTCGTGACAGCCACTGAATGTGCAGCGATCCTGGAACTTGATGGACGTAGGTTAGGAGGACCCCCCCTACCCGGTAATAGTGGCATGTCAGGAATATCTTAGGACCTCATATAATCCTTCTTATCCCTTATAGCCACTATTACAGGGCGGGGAGGTCTACCTATGACGTAGGTGTCAAATGGGGATTTTCCTAAATTACTGTCAATACGGGGTCCTATATTTAGGTTCCTATTATAATACGGGGCCCTATATACATTTCCCCCATTTTGGGAACAGTAATTTAGGGAAACTTCCAAATGACTGGTAGTTTCCAATGTCGCAGGTCTCAAAAGTGTCGGCAGCGCAAACGGGGAAGGCCGCTCCGTGGGTCGGAGAAAGTACTCACGCGGTTTAGGGTTTAGGGTTTAGGGTTTAGTAGTCTTGGTAGTAACATTAGCAGTAGGATTATCGAGATATCAGTAATAGCAATTGTCATAACGATAAGAACAATCATAAGCTTAAGAATAGAATCAATCGTAATAATCCTGCATTTCGGTTTGCTTGCGATCTGCTCCAAGCAAGTCCGTGTCCCTCACAGTTATCATCCG